CTGCATCTTTCTAGGATTGATGGACCTTACTTGTTGCATCTTCGAATAGTTGTATATAAAGAGAACATTAAATAATTTCCACTGTATGTTTATTTAACTCTTTCCAAACATCATTAAAATTTTTAAAAGTATAACTCTTTGAGAGTGTCATGTTTATGTTAATATCCATTTAACAAACTGCAACTTTCAGACTCAAGAAGTACATGAAGATGCCATTTGGAAAACACAGGGCAGATTTAGTTGACGCTCTGCTGAGCTGCTTTTTGCTTTTGTTGACTTTTTGTCATCTCTACAACTACCCTTTAGATAGGTTTAATTATGTCCTTTTCGGTTTTGCTTTCAGATGTAAGATGTGTCAGTTTAAGTGGGCAGAGAGAAGGCCCACTGTAAGAGCAGTCAGAGAGAAAGAAGGACACTTTAGAAAGAACTTAGGCTTTGGAAACAGATCTGAGTTTAAAGTCTCATTTCTCTTCTCACTGGTGTCTGGACCTTTATCCTGCAGGCAATGATAGAATGGGTGTGGAGGGAATGTTAATCCTGCAATCAGATAGGTGACGGAAACTAAAATCAGAATATAGTGTATTTAAAGCGTTGACCAGGTGTGTTAGGCTGTTTGGTGAACACAAGGGAGGGTGTCTTCCTTGATGACATGCAGTCCGTGGACAACAGGGAGATTAACATCTATCTGGGATTCCAGCGAGAAAAAAATCTACGTGCAGCAGAAGTATAAATAGTGGATTGTGGGGCCCACAAAGAGAGGTTCTGCTTAGAAGAGGAAGGGCAGAAGGGGGACAGCTTTTTAGAAGAGTTGCCGTCACAACCAGTTATGGATGGATGAGATGTCACCAGGTGAGAAAGGGAAGAAGGACACTGTGTGCCAGGGAGGAAGGTGCTCAGAGGCAAAGAGGGGCCAAAGTGAAATGTACGTGGCATTGGGGAGAACATAAAGAAGTCAGGTGAAACCGAAGTGAGGAGTGAACCTCTCTCTTCCCTCCCTTCCTTCCTTCCGACTTCCTTCTTCCCTTCTTTACTCTCTTCCTCATAATATTCCTTCATCCACTTCTTTCATCCTTCCGGCAACAGTTACGTGCCAGGCACGGGGAATGTGTGCTGAACCAGACATTTAATCTCCCTGTTGGAGCCTGGAGTCCAGCCCAGCAGGGGCGGCTCTCCTTTCCTCAGGAATGTAGACTTAGGA